TAATTATATAAATAAATAAGAAATGATATAAAGGAATAACAGTATTAAAAAAATTAATTGAGCTTTTTTACATTTCATACCCCCTCCCCTATCTATGCCCCCGCCTCACTGGTCCCCACTGGACCACATGTATTTTGAGATACATGTTAAGTCCTATCTAGTCAAGCATTTGTACTCCGATGTCTTTCGGTACAAATTCATCCACAAAGAATAACAGAAATTTTAAGATGTAGGATGGACTGTGTTTAGAAAGCACAGACACTTAAGACTCATCTTCGGTGAATTTTGGATACTTGGCTAGGTAAAATCATGGTGACATTTGACTTTATTTAAAAGAAGTATGTATTACTAAAGTTAGACACCTAGCATGCAGTGATTACTATTGAGTATCTTTATTACGTCTTACTAAGCCAAGGTAATGTAAAAACAATGATCTCTGCACTGATGAGCTAGATAACATAACAGTGGAATTTCACTGTAATTACCTTTGATCTGACTTCCGGCATTTCCAGATCCATAATCCTTGGACTTGTAACTTGCAGACTTACAAGCCCTGTGAAGACACCACAAAAGAGGCTACATAGAGAGAAACGCTTCAAGTCTAGATCCATTGGTAGGTTTTATTTAGCTCTGGTAAGAATATATTCAGTGAGTCACACAGTCAAAACTGCCCCAAATTAAGGAGCAATATCTTTAAAATTTTGCTTATTTATTTTTATTTTATGTGTATGTGTATTTTATCTGGATATATGTAAGCATGCCATGGGTATGCAATGCCTGGAAGAAACTATTTACAAATAAACACTTGATATGGGACTTACATATAAAATACAAAAAGAACTGTTACTGATCAATAATTTTTTTTTCTGATGAACAATTTTTTAAAGATTTTTTAAAAAAGTGTTTGAGTATTCTTCATATATGTAAATGCACTTGTGTCATGAAATCCCAGCAGAAGCAAGAACAGAGCATCAGATCTTCTCCAACTGGAGTTACAATTTTTAGCCATCATGTAGGTGATGGAACTGGACCTAGGTCCTCTGTAAGAGCTCTTAACCACTGAGCCCTTAAGAAATGATATTTTTATTTATTTATTTACTTTTGGTCTTTTTGAAACAAGGTTTCCCTGTAGCCCCAGCTTGTCTGGAACTCACTATGTAGACCAGGCTGGCCTCTATCTCACAGAGTCCCAAGTGCTGGGACTATAGGCATTCGCCACCACACCTGGCTAAGAAATGAGATTTTAATCTTCATTACTTAAACACAGGGTTTGTTGTATTTGACTTTTTCAAATGCTGCTCATTCATTTCTTGGCAATAGAACATGGAGTTTAACATTTAGCATCCATAGTAATAAAGCCAGCCACATCAATTCATTTCATACCCCAGGAATCTAATTGTTTAGCACATTTCAGGGGAGTCATTCCTCAGCATCAGTGCGAGGTTGGCTCTATGACTGCAGTGGATTCAGTCGAAGGATGCTCAAGTCTCCTAGAGGAAGGAGGAGTATTTACATACACTACATTCTCCCGGGGCCTTACTTCTCTAGGTTACTTGTAATAGTGACCACAGTGCAAGTTGCTATGTGAATAGTTGGTATACTATAGTGTAGGGGATGATGGAGAGGAAGCTTCTGCACGTCCAGCACAGATGAAGTGTGTGCTTTTTGGACATTTACCCCCATGGGTAGTGGAATCCTTGGATGTAAACGTGGAGGGCAGACTGCATCTTCCATGAGAATTCCTTCACCTACCCCTCATCCCCTCCTATGAGGAGGCAGTAGGTCTCAATTTCCTTCTCCAGGTGGGCCTTGACGTTCAGGAGCTGCTCATACTCCAGCTTCTGCCCCTCGGTCTCGGTCCTGACCTGGTGCAGCTGTTCCTCCAGGGCGCCAATCTGAGCCTGGATCTGTGCCAGCTGCGTGCAGTAGTTACCCTCGGTCTCCGTCAGCGAGCACTCCAGAGAGTGTTTCTGTCAGGAAACAACACCGGGAGGCTGACAAGGATGTGCACACACGCTGAAATCTCATTGTCACAGGGCTCTGGTTTCTTAACTTTATCTGTAACTGTTTCAGGTTCCACATAGACACATTAAGATAAACCTTCAAAAGTGGGTCAGTCTTTCCTTTTGTTAAAACAGACCCTCGAGGCCTTGGGCTGCTGCTTTAGGTATTAGCTATGTCATTTTACAGAAAGGTATCTGTGGACATCTTTGCAGTATTACAGGGCTTTACAGTATTTCAGTATTACAGCCCAGTACTACACCCACTGGTTTTAAAGCCCAGTGGGTGTATATAAACCCAGGGGATGGTAAAAGAGCCCTCTTCATACCGTGGCTAAGAGAGACTGAAGTTCAATTTCCAGGGTCTGCAGCGTGCGCTTCATTTCAGTCAGCTCGTTCCGGGCTGAGGTTGTGGCTCCCACGTCCTCGGTGATCTGCTGCTGCAGCGAAGCGCTCTGAAATGACATCAACAGGAGGGCAGATCTTAGCTTCGTGAACAACATTACCACGCACAGGGACTGCTTTCTGGCCGAGAGTCACCTTTTCTTGGAACCAGGCCTCGGCGTCCCTGCGGTTCTGCTCAGCCAGGGCCTCGTACTCAGCTCGCATGTTGTTGAGCAGGACGGTGAGGTCCACCCCGGGGGCGGCGTTCATCTCCACGTTCACGTTGCCTCCGGCCGCACACTGCAGAACTTGCATTTCCTGCAGGCGGAGAAGTGTGCGGTTCAAGCCAAATGAGAGTCTCAGGGTCTGGAAGTTTAGCTTTGGAAGTGTTCTTGATAGGTCGTCTGGTTTCCCACCTAGGCTAAGCAGTGACCACCCTCTTCCCACATTTGATAGATCCTGCCATATTTTATTCTGGAAGAGTTTGAAAGGCTCCACAGTGCAATGTGAGTCAAATCACTACAATTCCAGCTTCTCAATTTTAGCTCTGCTACCAGGAATAAGCCGAAATTCCTTTTCCAAATGAAAGTCCTTAAAACACAAAAGAATTGTCCCCTGGCTCTTACTTTGTTTATGCTGTTAAAATGCTCCCTTGAGGTCTCTCTTCAGTCCAGTAGAGAGCAACCTGAATGTTCTCTCAGTTTGACTACTTCCTGAACACAGTCTGAACATAAAAGGCTGAGTCTGGATAATTCTGACTACTTGAAATGATATAAATAGATGTGTGTGTGTGTCCAGGGAAGGAAGGATCGAGCTATCTGCTAAGCTTAAGTGATTATAATGTCCCTTTGGATTTTGAAGTTAGATCCAGATGTGAATTCTAGTTCTGTTCAGTAGTGGCTGTGTCAGTTTGGGAAAGTTGATTCCTTATCTGACACTGGAGCTAATTAAAAACGCTTCTCTGGGCCATGTGAAAAGAAGTGAAAGAATTGGTATTAATACTACAACTTAGCAATGCTGTCTGATCTGTAGATGCTGAACAAATGCTGGTTATGATTCCTGTCATGGAAAAGCAGGAATCCATTTTGTGAGTACACAATATTTCATCTGCACTGCATGTTGTGGGTTGGGTCAGTTCTAAGCGTGTAGACAGCAGGTGTTACTGCTAAGCTTGTGCAAAGTGAAATAGCACAGATCTGCTGTCTGATGCTCCTGGCTCCTGGATAGGTCTGAAGGATGGCAGCCTTTTTTTTTCTGGGAAGAAAACACCCCCAGGTGACTCTAGCATTTTTTCTTTTCTGATGTACTACATTCTCTGTCTCTCTGTGTGGCTTTAAGGTCCAGAGGATTTATTGAAAAATTTTCCAGTTCAAGCAAAAAAAAAAAAGAAAGAAAGAAAGAAAGAAAGAAAGAAAGAAAGAAAGAAAGAAAGAAAGACAGGTAAAAGATTTAAAAAATGCAGTGATGGGGCCACCTATAAGTAAAGTGTTTTAAAAAAAATCAACTACTTCCAATTCATCAACAATTTATCAGGTAACTACCCTGGATGATAACCTCATGTGAACTTGGACAGTCAAATGAATGCTGTAATGCAAGTAGTTCTAGTTACATTACAAGCTAGCCTCGAGTCTAACCAAATAGCATTCTTAACTTGATCTGATTTAAGCATTTGAAACCATGGATATTTTTGACTGTTTAGAAAATGTCAAATTCATCTTCAAAGGCATTTTTCCTTTATTTAAGAAAAGGAAATAATGACTAAAACCAGCTCCAAGGATGAAATGGCTTTCTGATCTGATTTTGAATCTAGCTTCCAAAACTGACTACTTTGGAAGCATGCTATGTGCTTGGCAGTGTAAAGTCTACTGTGGGTTCAACTGCAGCTTCACCTTTTAGCCATGTCTGTTGAGAATGTCTTACTATGAAGACTTGAAACAATGTGTGTATGAAGTTAGTGTTTCTGTCTTCTAAATGTGCTGCTGTCATGTAGAAATTGAGATCCACTTTTCTGAGAATTTCCTTCAAGAGTGTTCATTTTATCTAATTAGCTATAATCATCTAAGTAGACCATTTAATGTAGCTGTAATGACAGCTAAACACCGATCATATAACTATGATTATTCTGGAAAGTATGATTCTTTTTTTCCCACGAGAAGGGTGAATTTGTACAAGTAATTCAGCACTTACAAAGACACGTTGGCCCTCACATGGGTCTGACAATGAGTCTCCATACTAACTTCTTGCTTAGTGGGTGGGTAAGTGTATTATCTGCTGGGAGGTGGGCTTTGGGCAGAAGGAGAGCAGAATGCATTACCTCTTTGTGGTTCTTTTTGAGGTAAGTCAGCTCTTCACTCAGGGTTTCGAACTGGATCTCCAGGTCTGTTCTGCACAGGGTTATTTCGTCAAGGACTCTGCGCAGCCCGTTGACATCGGCCTCTACACTCTGGTGGAGAGCCAGCTCATTTTCATACCTGGAAAAAATGCCAGTGATATATGCTGAACTTGGGACTTCTAAATTGACATATGTAGCCACAAGTGTCAGAAAAGGAATCAAACTTTTCCAAACTGACACAGCCACTACTGAGCAGAACTAGAATTCACATCTGGATCTAACTTCAAAGTCCAAAGGACATTATAATCACTTAAGCTTAGCAGATAGCTAGCTAGATCCTTCCTTCCCTGGACACACACACACACACACACACACACACACACACACACACACACACACACACACACAAACACATGCACATACACACACACAAATGTGTATACCCTCATAATACACATGGACGCATACATCAAACACATATACACAACACAACAGAAATAATAAAATATTAA